AAGACCTAGGACTGTCCCACACCCTCCAACCACAGGCTCCTGTCATGTCCCTGTGTGGGCTTGCCCACCCCTGTGACTTCAGTGACCCCAACTCATCTAGCCCTGGGGGTCCTGGGGCTCCTGTCTGCAGCCGCCCAGGCCTGCTTTCGCTTTGCCTGTGGTCTTGTCAGACAGGGCCCTGTCCACTCAGCCCCATGGTCGATGGCCTCTCCTGCCTTGTATGGGACGTTTAGGGATTTCCCATATTTCACTTCTGCAAACAGTGTGGTGGACACCCCAGAAGAGCGAGTCGCCCTCACACACAGAGAACATTGGCTGCTGCATGGCAAGGGGGCACTGGGACCATGGGCAGGGACACCCTCAGATTGGTGGCCGATGTCACCAGATGTCCCAGTCTTCCCAAATTAAGTGGGAAGCTGGAATTTTCTGAGCTCTTAATGTTTTGAGCACTGGCAGCTAATTCGATTTTCACCGAACCTGACATGCAGCCGAGCAGAGAACATGGTGGGCACCATCACCACATGCTCAGAAACACCTGATGAGCAAAAAAGATCGCAATGCTGCCACCCAGCTGTTGGCTGCGATGTCTGAGGCTGCCCACCTTCTGGGGAGACCGTGCAAAGGCGTGACGTGACCCCTGCTGGGTCCACTCCCCGCCACACCTTCCACTGGGGGATGCTACAAGAGGAGAGGGAGCCCCCTTCTTGGCCAGAAAGCCTGGAGCACTCTGGAGGCACATGCCTCCCTGAGCCCCACATCACTGCCTTTCCTCTGGGCTGCACACACCCTGCCTCATGCCCCAGAGCCTGCACACTCAGGCTGCTCAGAGACAGGGCCACTAGTCCTGCCTTCAGGGGCTGCTCCAAAAGTGTCAGCCCCTCAGCCTCCTCCCCTGCCCAAATGGCCCAGAGCTAACTATGTCACTTCCTTCTGGGTGTGTCCTCAGGCCAGAAGATCTGGGAAGGCAGCCCCAGCCCTAGCCCAGGACGACAGGGGCCGGCACTGGTGCTCCCGTTCCTTATCCTTGTCCAGAAGTAGTCTCATGTGGGGCCTCGTCCAGTCTAACACAGACCGCTATGCTCACTTGGGGCTGGGATCAAGAGACCTCAGGGAGGACACATCCCAGGGCCACCCCAGGAAGGAGGCCCCATCTGGAAGCAGCCATGCTGGGGCCCATGAGGACCCACAGATCATCAGATCCCAGGGCTGCAAGAATTCTGTCATAGCCCTGCATTGGGGTTGTTGGGTGCAGGCCACACGTGTCCCCAGTGCCAGGCCCTCCAGGGCATAAGAGATCATGGTCAAGCCCGCCCCACCCCACATCCAGTATACCCCGTGGTTGACACAGTGTGCCCTACCTGACTAGGCACACTGAGCCAGCCGGGTACCATCACAGAGTCCAACTGGAAATGTCAAACACAGCAGGCCCCGCTGTGAGAGGTGGGGGGTCTGTCTGCCCTCTGGAGGCCATGGGTCCCAGGCCACAACCCTGTGACTCTATGCCAGGTGCCAGGAGGACAGAGGAGGAGCAGGGGCAGACCCAAGGAGAGCTGGGTGGGTAACAGGGCAGGGAGACAGAACCCCCTCTGTAATTTTAAAGGACTTTCCCACCAGGCCCTGAAGCCTTGTGTTAAACGTTTACAACACGGAGCCTGTACTTGGGAAAACTGGTTTCTGTGACGGGAAACAGTGCACACACATGCACACACACCATGTGTAATCACACATGTGCACACTCACGCACACACATGCACACACCCTCACATGCAACCACACACGCACACACATTCATACACATATGCATTCACACGCAACCATACACATGCTCATGCACACATGCACTCACAACCCCGCACATGCTCACAGATGCATGTACTCATGCACATGCCCTAACATGCAATCACACACATGCACTCATGCCCTCACATGCTACCACACTCACACACACATGTACTCACAATGCACTCACATCCTCACATGCAACGACACGTGCACACACATGTGCTCATGCACATGCCCTCACATGCAATTACACACATGCACTCACGCACACACTTCACACACACATGCACAAACACCCTTGTGGTAGTTCAGTTTGTGTGTTGACTTGGCTGGGCCTGGTTGAGTGGCTGGGCAGCTGGATGTAGTCATTCCCCATGATGAGACTGGTCATCAACTCCGTGGTGGAATCTACTATGAGCAGCTGAGTAGCTGCCTCAGGGATGTGGTCTGCTTCCTATATATAAGGAGAAGCCTTGGGGAATGGTCTCTAGCTTATGGCATGCTTGGACCTTGCATGTAGCATGTCACTGTTCAGCAGCCTGCCATGCTCTGCTGACCTTGGGACTTTCAATGGACTTGAATGAATGGCTTGCCGTGTGGTTTGGTAACACTGGGACTGTGCCTTTTTACTTGTCAACCTTGGGCTTGTCAGCCTCAGCAGCCAGCAGCTGTCCGAGTGAAGAGAAGCCTCCGGCTTCAGTGGTCGGGAGCAGCGGGCAGAGCTGGAGCCCGAGACTGAAGGGCTCTCACCAGCCCCTGGAGCCTGGCGCTTTGAACTCGGACTTAAAGCCTCCAAAATTGCAAGAGAATAAACTCCTGTTTTTGCAAGCCAGCCCATTTGTGGTATCTTCTGGTAGAGCGGCAACAGGTAACCGAAACAACCCTCACATGTAACCACACATGTTCATGCACACATGCACCCACACCCACACATGCAACCACACATGTTCGCACACACCTGCACACATGCCCTCACATGCAACCACACACACGTACTCATGCACACACGCATGCGCCCTCACATGCAACCACAAGCACTCACACACATGCACTAATGCTTTTGCATGCAACCACATGCTCATTTATACATGCACTCATGCACACATACACATGTACTCCTGTACACAGATGCATGTACACATGCACACATCCTCACATACAACCACATGCACACATGCACACGCCCTCACATGCAATCACACACACTCACATGTAGACACACCTCACATGCAACTACACACATGTTCACACACATATGCTCACTCAGATGCACACACACCCTCACATGCAACCACACATACATGCACTCATGCCCTCACATGCAACCACACGCTCACACATATGCACATACTCACTCATGCACACACATACACACATTCATGTGCATACATATGCACACTCATATAGACAGCACATGTGCTCATGCACACACATGCATGCTCATGTGCGCACATCTTCCAGGGCTACAGGTAGACAGACATTGTAGGACCAGGCCACTCCCAGCATCTCTGTAGCTCTGAACCCAAGGTGTCCCCTGCCTGGCTGAGACAGCTGTGTCTAGGCCTCGAGCAGGCTCTCATACAGACCCAGCCTAGAAGTCAGGAAACCCTTCCTGCACAGATGGGGATATTGGTACAAACCAGGGCCCACAGGAGAAATGCCAGATCTCAAAGGACAGGGCTAGGCAGGGCCCTCACCTCAGAGCCACACTGGGAGCCCAAGACCAGGGCATCCAGTGTGGGTCTAAGGCCCACCCGCCCCTCTGGCCACCTTCCTGTTTGTCCCACTGCCCCAAGAAGATTGTGGAAGATGACACAGTCAACAACCTAATGAACAGAGGCAAGGCCCTGGACTGACAAGTCACAGAGGAAATACCACAAAAACATGTGAAAAGATGCTTAGGACACTAGAGAGAAAGGAAAAGCCAACATCTGTCCCCTCTGACAAGTGTGCCAGGGACTTGGGGACAGTGTGAGGGCTGGGGCATGGGGGGTGCAGCTCCACGAGGGGAGACACTTCCAGGGCTGTGTCCCAGGATCTCGAACACATGCCAACAAGGCCCACAGCCACCGGGAGCCACTGGTTGGCAGCTCAGGCCCCTCCAGCAGTCTCCTGGGCCAGCATAAGGACAGCTGTGCCAGTGAGGAAGCACGGCCCAGGCTCTAACACAGTCTCCCACCTGCAGAACACCAGGGTCCTAGTGCTGAAGACCCCTCTCCTTCCAGCCGTGTCCACCATGGTAGTGAGTGAATCACCACCTCACCCTAAGAGAAGCCCAGAGACAAACCTGTCCCCAGCATACATGGTGGCCCCTTTCTCAGAGATGGGCCCCCACTTGATACAGCCCCTGGGAGACCCTGGGGTCATGGGACCTGCCCAGACACAGGTAGGCAGAAACCGCCTGCACGGTACCTCTTCCCACTGCTGGCTGCGGACTCTGTGGTGCTGCGGCCAGCTGCTGCCCTTCTCCGAGACAGCTTCCTGGTGCCGGCCGGCCCTGGTGGCGGTGTGTCCCCCCCTGGTGGGGCCTGGCCCGCACTGGCACTGTCCAGGTCTCGCAGCACGTGGTAGTTGATCTTGCTGGAGATCTTTTTCTGTTCCAGCATCTTCTCAATGGCCTCCCCGGCCGTGCTGGCCTGGATGGGAGCCCGCTTCTTGCTCGACTTCTTTGGCTGCAGTAGGCAGAGAAGGAAGGGCTGCAGGTCCTGCCAGGGGTGCCGTCGGCCAGGACACGAGGGCTCCAGAGGCATCTGGAACTCCCAACTCGGCAGAGGACCCCCTAAGTGTGCCTCAGAAGCTCCGGCCTCACCACCCTGTCCTGCTGAGTCGTGTGGCCTGGACACCGCAGCAGGCCAGCCACCTGACCTCACCCATACTCTGTCCCCATCCTCACCCACCTCACACCCAAGGCCCTGGCCCCCACCGCGTGGTGCCCTGTAGGTGCCGAGCGCCTTCTCCTCGTCCACCCCTACCCTCCCTGCCCTTCCCCCTCCCTAACAGGCCCTCCCCCGGCCCCCACCTTGTGCTCCCTGTAGATGCCCAGTGCCTTCTCCTTGGCGATTCTGGCTTCTTTCTCTGAAAGAGCAAGAGCTTGGGGTCAGGGAGCCTCCCTGGCCGACTACGGGGTTCTGGCCGCCCACCAGCTTACCCCTCTGCTCGCGTAGGTACTCGGCGTTCTCACGCATCCACAGCTCGGCCTTCACACGGGTCTCTGCCTCGTCCAGGATGTACTACATGGGCACAGAGATGGGTGTCAGCCCCCAGGCACCCACAGGTGTGCACCCTGGGCTCTCCCACCCTGAGCATCACCCCTGCTCTCACTGTCGTGAGGTGGAGGTGGCCAGCCACCGACCCCAGGCATCCTGCCCACTTGGTCCCACAACGGCACTGCCACTCTGGAACAGGCCCCACCACATGTCTGGACACAAGGGTGCCAAGCAAACAAGTGAGGGACAGGAGCTCAGTCACTCAGGAAATTCAGGGAGACTTTCCCAGCAGAGGACAGGCACCAGAGGCACACTGCACAGAGGGCCTGCGCCATGGAGGAGCAACACCCCTGCTGTAGCCAGACGGTGTCCTGAGCAGGACCAGGTGGCCGTGCACCTGTCGCGATTGTATGTGCTCTCAGGGCTCGTACTGCCTGAGGCCACCTAGAGCTGACACTAGGAGGAAGGAGCCTAGGGGTCTGAAGCGGCCATCAGACAGGTAGGTGGTGACAAGAGCTCCATGCCGGGGTCGGCTAGCAGCCAGGAGAAACAGCACATCTCCGAGAGGCCCCGATGAGCAGTGGCCCTGGGCTCAGGAGGACAAGAGGACCAGCCCCACCCCAGTGCCCAGCCAACGTGGGACGTACACATGGTGGGACACAGCTTACTTTGTCAATTTCAAGGTCGTCGATGCCACTAAGGTCCAGTTCGCCATCCTCCGAGGTGTCTTCTAGAGGGAAGCATGAGCATCAGCTTGCCGGTGAACACAGGTTAAAGTCACAGATGCCTTGGTCAGCTGGCTCCAAGCAGCCAGCCTCCTCAGTGGCCCTAGCCACACCCTGTTCTCTGGGCATCCACAGCAGTCATTTGAACGCCATGTCCCTGAGAACTTCACCTGCAGGAGAGCCACTCACATCACAGCGTGTGGGGAAGCAGGGCCCTGACGGGAGCTACTGTGAGGCCAGAGACTCCAGCATGGCTGGGAGACCCAGGAACTGGGCCCCCACAAAACGGAAGACAGATCAGCTGGTGAGATCGAGGGTGTCCAGTGTGGTCCCCTCAGGCTGGGGCGGAACGAGGGTTATTTCAGGTGCAGGACTACCATTCTCCCAGGGGTCCCTTGTGGGCCACACCCTCTGGCCCCTCAGTATCCGGGCACCCTGCACCCCAGTTCCCTGCCTCCCTGAATCTACCAGGGTCCACCACTGAGTCCTATCAGCACTGACCCCACACAATGCCTCCCTCCCATCAGTTGGCCTTGTGCTTGGGGCCCGTGAAGGTGCCTCTCACACGCTCCAGCTGGAAGGCCACCCTGGGCCTCCTCTCCCTTGGCCACAGCCCTGGGCAGCACCTGGTCCCTGCCCGAGCCCTCCTGGTGCTCTGGGTGGCCCCCTGACAGGCAGGGAGTGTGCACACACTCCCCTTACAGAGCATATTCAGTGCACACACAGGGTCCACCCCATGCCTGGCCCCAGAGGCACGTGATGTGCTTGGTAAACCAGGAGCTGACACTCGAGTCCTGCTTCCCTCTTTGCTAGGAAAGAGGACTGGCCATGGGAGCGATGGGATCTCTCTCGGGAGGGGCTCTTCCTGGAGGCACCAGCCTTCCAGGCCCATCTGCACAGCTGGCCGCTGCAGCCAAGGCTTTCAGACATGAGGGCACCTGGAGTGCAGCCTCAGGACACTGGACCTCCCCCAGGTGAGTCCCTGCTCCGGGGCTCCAATTGCCACGCAGCTACCATCCCCTGGTGCACACCACCAAGACGCTGCTTCTCCCAGGACGAGGCCCAGTGTCTGCCGCAGCATCTGGTCATCCCAACAGATGGTGGTGGGCCCAGGACCCCTACACTCCAGCCCCAAGATGGGGATAAGACCCGACACGCTTGGCATCATGGGCCCTTCATCCGCAGGTACAGGGGCCAGGCCAGCAGCATCCCCTCAGGCAAGCCCACCCTCCTAAAACGCCCAAAGACACCTGGCTGTGGAGAGGGGACCAGGAGGGGGCCCTCTACACCCTCGCTGCCTACCAGCAGCCTTTCAGCTCAGACAGACACGACAGACCCTGTCGGGCTTGGCCCCTGCCACCAATGACGCCCATCCCCCAAAACAGCCCCCCCCGAAAGCAGCCCCCCTTTCCTTCCTGTCCGCACCCCAGAACTCACTGAGGTCCCGGCTTGGGGATGAGATGCACTCGCGGATGGACTCAGAGATGCCCAGGCTGGCGGCCGTGGGCAGGGGTCCGAGCAGGGACTCCAGGGCAGGGGGCTGGCTCCCCTCCTCAGTGCCCCCCACTGACTCTGAACTGCCCGGCAGGCCATCACCAAGGAGCTCCCGGTAAAAATCCTTGTTGAGGTGGCTGGCAGCAGCCTCCAGCTCTTCGTCCTCCACATCATCATCACCAAAGAAGCTGGACACGGTGTCCTCGATGGAGCCTGGGGACAGTGACACACCTGTCATCGAGCTGAAGAGCCACCCTCAGCCGAGCCTGCGGTGTGGTGAAGAAACCCCTCCACCAACCTCCAAGAGATGGTTTCTCCACCTATTTCAACAGCCGTGGTACCAGCCCTCAGGCTGCCATCACCAGGTGGGGGGAGGTGTTTTCAACAAAGGGTGCTGGACACCTGATGTCCACAGCAAAGCACAACCCTCCACCTGCACCCACACACAGACCCACACGCCTCACGCCACCCAGCCCCGTCACAGACCCACACGCCTCACACCACCCAGCCCCGTCACAGACCCACACGCCTCACGCCACCCAGGCCCGTCACAGACCCACACGCCTCATGCCACCCAGCCCCGTCACAGACCCACACGCCTCACGCCACCCAGCCCCATCACAGACCCACATGCTTCACAGACCAACATGCTTGACACTAACAGACTCCCTGTCACAGACCCACACACCTCACACTAACAGCAAGTCTCTAACTATCATTGACCCACATGTGAGAGTTGAAACAATAAAATTTTAGAAGGAAACAGGAGAAAATCTGTGACCTTCAATTATTCAAAAATTTCCCCAATTTGACACTAAAAGCACAATCCATAAAAAGAAAACATGGATCACTTGGATCTTGTCAAATTTAAGAACTTCTACTCTTTGAAAAACACCGCTAAGAAAATGAAACCCCACAGATGGGAGGGAGGACCTGCAAACAACACATCTGACGAGGGACTGTACCCAAGGTGCACAAACAACCCATGAGAACGGACGTGAGCAGGTGCTGCAGAAAAGGTGAAAACCCCACCCAACCTACTGCCAGCAAGTCAGTTCTGACCCTTAGAGACCCCCAGTGGGTTCCCAAGGCAGGAGATCTTCATGGAAGTAGACTGCCCTGTCTTCCATCTGAGGAGAAGCGGGTGGGTTTGAACCACCAACCTTCTGGCTAGCAGTGAAATGCCTAAGTGGGTGGCAAAGTCCATGAAGCCGTGCTCGATAGCACTGGTCGCTAGGGAAACACACAGCTCTGAACAGGCTACCGCTACAGAGACTGACTAGTGGCTACATCACCTGCTTCTGAGGAGGCTGGGCCGCTGGCGTGCTCATGCTGCTGCCCCCGGGGAAACGGGCCACAGCCACCAGCAACCCAGCCATCCCACATCCAGGTAATGCCAAGAGAAAGGAAAACACCCCTCACAGAGATGTGCAGGGGTGTCATCGCAGGTTTATCTGACAGCCCCAAGCTGCAAACAATCCACGTGTCCCTCAGCAGGCGAAGGGATAGCCCGGTACTCATGGAAAGTTACTGCACTATAAAAAGCATCACAGCAGTGGTTCACCCAACAACACGGACACACCTCAGAAGACTCCACCGAACAAAAGAGGGGTGCTACAGTGTGGTTCCATTCCCACAGAAAGCGCAACTGACTCCCAGGGACAGAAGGAACAGTGGTTCCCCTGGCACAAGGGTCGTTACCACCAGGCATGAGGACTGGAGGTGATAGATAACGCATTGTTGTGGACTGAAGCATGGCCCCCAAAAATGCGAGTTGTGAACCCTAACCCCTATACCACAGCTGTACCACAGCTGCACACAAAGGACACCCTATTACGCTAATGAGACCATGACTGGCACAAGGTGTGTCTTCAACCAATCACTTGTGAGATATCAAAGAGCAGAGCAGCTACAGAGAAAGTGAGGACAAACAGGGTGGATGGGTGCCACACAGAGGTCTCCAAGGAGCACCATGCAGCATCCAGAGAAGCCGAGACCAAGGCCTTCCCCAGGGCACAGAGAGCCTTCCTCCACAGCTGGGGCCTGAATTTGTACTTCTAGGGGCCTGTGAGAAACGGGAGCCTTGGTGGCACAGTGGTTAAGCACTCAGCTACTATCCCAAAGGTCAGTGGTTAGAAACCACCAGCGGCTCTGTGGGAAAAAGTTACAATCAGCTTCCGTGAAGACTGACAGCCTGGGAGACACTGTGGGGCAGTTCCACTCTGTCCTCTAGGGGTGCTATGAGTCAGAATGAACTCCACGGCAGTGGGTGTGGTTTGGGCTTTGCTTCTATGAAGACTGACAGCCTTGGAGACCCTGTGGGCAGTTCCACTCTGTCCTCTAGGGGCGCTGTGGGTGGGGATTGACTCCAGGGCAGTGGGTGTGGTTTGGACTTGCTTCCTTGAAGACTGACAGCCTGGGAAACCCTGTGGGCATCTACTGTGTCCTCTAGGAGCGCTGTGGGTCAGAATCGACTCCGTGGTACAGGATTTAGATTTTTGGCTTTCACTGTGTGGAAACAAGTGTCTACTCTTTAAGTCACTGACACATGAGGTGTGTTTCTGCTACAATGGCTTGAGGAGAGGGGACCGGCCCTGAGCAGGGAAGATATGTACAACATACCTGCAGATACATGTAACTTCCAGAGTACCAACACCACCTCAATAAAGGTGTCAGAAGACCACTGAACAGCACACCTTAAAAGGCACCTTAAAACACCTCTTCTGAAGTGCTTTCTTGGATGTCTGATATGTTCAAGGTCATGAATGGCGATGAGGGCGACATGAGTCTCGATGTTTCCTGGACCACGTCTCAGCGTACCTCCTTACTCAGGCCCTGCCACCAAGCTGTCCACCACAGTAGAGCCCGCCTCATCCCTGTGCTGGCCTCCAGGTGGCTCTGTGCACTTCAGCAGTGTGGCGTGGGGAAGGGGTCTCTGCACTGCTGGGCCCCAGAGGCCAGGACTAAGCCAGCATGCTGGACACATGCTGTCCTCGTTCCCAGGAAAGGTGCTCTCACTGACCTGGGGTTGTTTCCTCCTCAACACCCCCAACTTCCTCAGCCCCCAGCCCCACTTCTTCCCTCAGGTCAGCCTCACCATGTCCCTGCCCAGCCACAGGGAGCGATGGCCCCAAGAGGGACAACGTGTGCCGAGGACCCGCACTGCTCAGGCCTCCTGCAACCAAGAGCTGTGGACAACAGCCCCATCCAGTGAGCCCTCAGGCTGCCACGACAAGGTATCAGCTGAGGAAGGGTCTCACTGGCCATCCAGGCAGACATGGGCACCAGTGCAGGACGACATGCGGGAAGGACCGAAAACAGCAAGGCTGGGGCTGGGGGGGAAGGTGGGTCTGTCCCTGGGCCTCACAGGAAAGCTGTGGATGGGGCACCCCAACTGCACGAGACCGATACCACAGGTGGCAGCACTATCACGGAGGCTGGCCATGGGAGGGGGGGAGCGGCAGCAGGTGCGGCGCTCACGGCAGGTGCTGCAGACGTGGCCTGAGTATCAGGATGAGAGGGACCACAAAGAAACCGCCAAAGGCAGCACAGACATCCCAGGTTCTGAGACCTGTACGGAAGCCTGCCTTCACTACAAGGGAATGAGTCAAGGTCAGACACCAAGGAAAAGCCAGCTTCTCGGACTGGGCTCTCTGCCGTATGAAGGGGTGAGTGTGAGCTAAGGGGGAGGTCAGCCAGTGGACACAGAGCGCCCACGGCCCAAACCGCTTCACGCCACAAGTCAGGAGCAGCCTGAGGCCCAGAAGGGGCAGCAGCAGTAGTCGGCCAGCTCACTCTGTCCCCAAGAGACCAACAGGGCAGGACCTGATAAGGGTTCAGAACTCCAGAACAACCCAGCGAGACAGAAGCCGGGTTGGAGCCAGGCACTCGGCAGACAAGCCCCTTCCCTGGGCCCAGAAATGTGGGCAGCCTTTCTGTCAGCTGCTCACAGAACATGCTCAAAGTCCACCATGCATGGCCACAGAAACCAACAACTCTGTAAAGCCGCAGGAGCAATCTCCCGCTACTGCACAAGTAACCAACTCAGTGAAGCCGCGAGAGGGGCTCCAGTTACCAACTAACCAATGACTCAGTAAAGCTGCAAGAGAGGTCTCCGGTTACCGCACAACTACCAACTCAGTAAAGCAGTGAGAGCGGTCTCCGGTTATCGCAGAACTAACCGACTCAGTAAAGCAGTAAGAATGGTCTCCGGTTACCACAGAACTAACCAATGACTCAATAAAGCAGTAAGAGCAGTCTCCGGTTACCGCACAACTAACCGACTCAGTAAGAGCGGTCTCCCATTACTACACAACTAACCGACTCAGTAAACCCACAAGAGTGGTCTCCGGTTACTGCAGAACTCACATGCCCAATGGAAGTAGAACCCAAGCACAACTCCGAGGGTGAAGGCAGAACGAGCTGAGACTAAAGAACTAGAATCAGCATTTCCTGGGGAAGCGCAGTAACGTGGCTGTGACACCATCACTCGGAGGAAAACACCTCCCTAAGCATGCCCAGCCACAGACACGTCAGAGTAAGGGGGTCACCGACACAGAGGACGGAAACATTAGCAAACAGCATGGTCCATGGAGAGCAGGAAGGTCACGGGTGCAGCCAAGTCAGTTAAGTTGATGCAAAAGGAAGTGTACCCATCCTGAAAACCACAGCAAACTACAGCATGGAAGCTGAGAAGCCATGGGATTGAGGGGCCGGGGGCTGGCACCAAAGCTCCTGCCTGGCCCTGGAAGGTGGCTCAAGGGGACTGGGAACAGACATGGTCTCGACACTGGGCTGGTGGACAGGGTCAGGACGAAGCGGGAGGGGCTGGAATCGGACAGAGGTGGCATGGGGCATCTAGGGAGCCCAGTGTGCTGGGGCCAGGGGACCACAGGGCTGGGTGGGGTGGTACTGAGTTCTGTGTGGGCACGTGGGGCTGAGGGGTGCTGAGGGCACAGGGGCACTGCCCTTCGCACCAGCGGCTGAGCTCACCGTCTCTGGCCAGGGTGGCCAGGGCCCCCTTCGCCTTCGGCCGACTACTTTCCAGCTCAATCTCAATGGCATCCTGGTAGCTGGAGATCTCACCTGAGAGAGGAGTTCAAGGTCAGCACAAAACCCACTTTCCAGAGAAACCAAAGTATCCGCTGGTGGGCTGCTAGCTACCTTCGACTTCCTCCAGTTGCTTTGACAGGACTTGCTCCAGCTGAAAGAGAAGAAGGGGTAGTCAGGGCAGGGGCTGGACACGTGCACCTCCCATATGTGGGGGCTCAGAACATGCTGCCCCCCCCCCACAGCAGACATGTAAGGTGGATGTGTGAGGCATCAAGGCTCGGGTAAGGGGCTGGGGATGTGGAGGCAGGAGGCACACGGGTGTGGAGGGCAGGAGGAGCCGGTGGGCGGTCTGCAGAGGACAGGCAGACAGGGAGAACAGAGCCTCTTGCCCACAGGAGGCCCCTAGGATGGCCTTGAAAACGGGATGCCGGTGGCGCTAGGCCGGGGGCCTGGCAGGTAGCTCTGATGAGCTCCCATGGGCTCCAAACTCCTCACGGCAAAGCAGACTGCTGTGCCAGCTTCCCTGTGCCAGCAGACGGATGTGCTCAGACAGCAGTGCCTGGCCGGGGGCTGTGTGCCATGCCCCAGGGCTCCCCACTCATCACTGTCACTTACCAGTGGGAGTGGCCCAACCAGTGGGGCCACTCGGGCTACTCATGGGGAACTGCCAGCCTCCGGAGCTCCCTGCCTGAGAGGACAACCTCCTGCAGGTGCCAGAGCCCCCTGGGCACCTCAGCCCGGTGCAGCCCCCGTCGACCGTGACGTACACCCTGCCCAGCATCCCTGCAGACCAGCCCTACATCTGACCTGGCACTTGGCCCCAAAACATGGCAACCAGAGATGGCCACTTCCTAACCCACTCAGGGCCTCCACCGTGTGTCCTCAAGTCTGCAGCTGCTGAGGGTCCACGGCCTGTTCCAGAAGGTGGAGGCCTCTGCCCGTCCCAGCAACTGCCGGGCTGTTCTCTCATGGGAACCTGGAGAGCGTACTGACGGGAGGGGCTTCCAGACACCCTCACCGCAGCAAGGTGACGGCCACCACTGGTCTCCCAGCGACGGAATGGGCAGCAAACCCTGAACTCAGGAGTGCCACTACCCAATCTCCCTGTCCCTCCTAGAAGTCGGACCCTGCAGAGGTCCTGGCTGGCTGTGCAGGCAGCTCACTCCACCGTGGCCATGTGCTCAGTGGCAGCAGGGGGCACTGAGGCTGTGGGTGCTGTGGGGCCGGTGCCAGGATGACACCAGGCACCCACCTGCTGCATCCGCAGCTTCCTCTGCCCAGCCGTGTACGAGGGGGGGTCGCACTCCTCCTCCAAGTCGATCCTCATGAACTCGTCGATGGTCAGCTGACTGGTGGGGGTGTCTTCAAATTCAGTGAGCCTGAAACACAAAGGGGTCATGCTGGACAGCCACCCTCAACCCGTGAGCAGGCCACCTCCCGGCAGCTTCTCAGCCCCTGCCTGACCCTGCCAACAGCTTGGCTTCCACAGGAAGAGCACTCCAGGTCCCAGCAGGAAGACCACATGCAAGCCCCAGCCGGCAGCTGTCGCTAGCAGGTGAGACTCCGCACATCAGGGTGAGTGGCTGAAGGCTGACTCCGACCCACCTGGTCAACTCAACATCACATGGTGTTTTCAAATGCTCCGTAATGGAGTTTTAAAAGAGAATTAACCAAGATAGCAGGTACTGAGTGGATCCCAGCTCACGACAGCCCCACATAAGTCAGAGCAGACCTGGGCTCCACGGGGCTCTTGGGCCTGATTTTTCAGAAGCAGATGACCAGGCCTTTCTTCCGAGGCATTGCTGGGTGGACACGAGCCTCTGACCTCTTGGTGAGCAGCTGAGTGTGTGGATAGTTTGCACCACATGGGGCCCCTCAGGGGAATTGAGGGCAACAGAATGGCATCCCTCTGCCTCTGAGACCTGCCAGGGACGTGCTGGCAGCTGATAGGCAGCTTTGCCATGATCCGCACAGCAGCGAGTACAGGGGGATGGCGCGGTGGTGTCCATCCCCGCAGACCGCTTCCTGACGCAGTCCCTCCAGGCAGGATGGGGAGCTCCTGGGCCTGTCCCTGAGCAGGTGGGGCTGCCGTGAGCTCGCAAGGTGGTTAAATGTCACCCTGCCTTCAGTGGACAGGCAGCCTCCCCTTCAGTCCCAGCCTCCCAATTGGGGTTGGCCACTCAGGTCCTCGAGGTCCAGGGAGGCTACACTGAGTCCGAGCCCAGCTGCTGCAGTGCTATGCCCCCAGCCAACCCACCTGCTTCCTGCCTGGAGTAGGGGACTGGGCACTTGCCCCACCTTAATAAGAATCACCAGGATGGGGCCAAGTATGGCCTTCAAGCTATGCCCTGCCACTCAGACGAGCGAACACTGCCGTCTCCACAGCACCTACCTCTTGCGCAGTGTCGACTCACACACTTTGACCACGCTGATGACCTCTTTGACGGTTCTCCGGAAGTCGTGCATCCTGGCCGCAACCAGAAGGGCTGGGAGAAGCAAAGACAGGCTCAGTGATAGCACTAGCACTAGCAGAAATTTGGGAGCTCTGGTGGTGTAGTGCCTAAGGCACTTGACTGCTAACCAGAAGGCTGGCGGTTCAAACCCACCAGCCACTCCTCGGAAGGAAGGTTGGGCAATCTACTTCCACAGTGATACCGCCTCGGAAACCCAAGGAGGGGTTGGTATGAGTCGGGGTCGACTTGATGGCACGTAACAACAACAAACAGCAGAAATTAAGATGACACACCTGCTGTAGCCACACAGTGGCCACAAGCTGCCCTGCACATGCAGCAAGACCCTGCCTGGTGCTGGCACCGGAGCCAATGGTCCGAGCATGGAGTGTCCATGCTTCCTTCATACTGGGATGCCCGGGGCCTGAGGGAATGGGGCGAGTCCCGCCTGGGGCCTGGGGGGACAGGGAGGGTCCTGCCTCACTCCTGGAGGTGTCAAGGCCATGCCACTAGCAGACTCCTGGGATCGTCATGCTGTCCTGCATGTACTAGGCTGTCATTAAGAGCCACAGTGAGCACAGTTCCACACACTTTGCTTCAGAACCCAAAGAGCTAGAACAGAGTTTGGGAACTTTATGCGACTCTTGGAAGCGCACAGAGGTGACATTAAGGTGACTGGTGAGTGGCCTGTGGTGATGGGAGCTGAGTGCTCCAAGGACAGAGCCCAGAGTTGAGGAGGAGAGAGGGTAATGCTGATACAGGGTGGCTGCTGCATTTTTGCCCCAGAGTGAGGCTGACCCTGCCGTGCCCACCACAGACCAGGACCCAGGGCCCAGGGCAGCATCGCTGGCTATCAGCTGCTCGTCTGAGCCCTGGCACTGCGACAGGTGTGGAAAGCATGGGGTGAAGCGGGGGGGGGGCCCAGGAGAAGTGGACAGGTGACAGGCCTGCCCGACCAGCACCGTCAGGAAGAGGCAGGAGGGCCTGTGTGGGGCAGGAGCAGCAGGGGCACAGGGTAGGCCCCCTCACTGGCTGGGCACAGAACCCCTGAGCTGGAATGGGCCCCGGGGAGACAGGAACCCTGGTGAAGGGGGACTGTACTTCTAACCATGCCAGGAGTGGCATCTCAGGGCCAGGCTGGGGTACCTGCTGCTGCCCAGAAGATGCCTAGGCCCGGAGAGACCAGTGGAGCCTGGAGAGCAGGGTCCAATCATGAACCTTGGACCTGAAGGTTCTGCTCACTGACAGGCAGGGCCAAGCATGAGGCTGCAGCTCACTACAGAATGAGCCCAGACACCTGGCAGCCAAGGGGGATAGACTAGCAGAGACAGGGACAGCTGAGCCCTGGCAGGCTATGGGGGTATCTGGTGACTGTGAAACCCTGCCATGTCCAAGGATTTTCCCGGTGCCCCACCACATGCCATGCCTATGCCACAGAGCCCTGAAGGGCATCAGCACATGTGCATCACATACCTGCACCACACAGCCCCGAAGGGCGCCGGCCCGTGTGCATCCAGTCCCTCTTCATGCGTTGCAGCAGCCGCAGAGCCGTCATGGACACCTCGTGGTTCTTCTCCCCGAACTCCAGCAGATGGGCGAAGCGGGGGATATACAGGCAGGGGTCTGCAGCAGACACAGTGCTCAGTGTGCCCAGCCTACCTCGCCCTGACAAGCTGGCATGATGCCAGCCCCATCTGTCCCCCACACACAGTCTGTGTCCCCCTCCTGTGGCCCCGTACCCTATCACTTGGCCAGAGAGGTTGCAGACACTGTGCCCATCACTGCCTAACCCTAACCCTTGCTGGCCTCACGGAGCACAGGGAGGGCAGTCACACTGCAGCCTGATTCAGCCTCTAGGGACATGCTGTCCCCAGAGCTCTTCCTGCTCAGGTGTTTGCTGGAGACACCCAGAAGTGGAACGACTGGGAAAGTGCATGGATGGGATGAGGCAGGACTCTAGGACCAGCTGGGTAGTTCACATCAGCCGACCCCACACGTGTGGGGAGGAGGGCCTGCTAGTACCTGCACGGCACTACACTGGGCTACTGTGGGGGCAAACACAGATCATAGCATGTGTGCATCCACACACATGCTCACACTCGCACACATGCCTATACGCACTCACACCCACATTCACTCACACACACGTGTCACACTCACTCGTACATATGGACACATGTAGACACGGGCAAGCACATGCAATCACACACCCACACTCACTCAGTCACACATGTACACATTCACTCATACACATGCACTCACACACACTCACACTCACATGTATACATTCACTCATGCATACATGCACTCACACATATATGCATTTATATGCATGGCTACATGCACTCACACACACGCTCGCACTCACACGTGTACACATTCACTCATACACACAGACACATGCATTCACACACCCACACTCACATTGTACACATACACTCATGCACACATGCACTCATTCACTCACACATATGCCTACATGCACTCACACCCACACACGTACACATTCACTCACACACACACATGCACGCAGGCACATGCACTCACACACTCACATTCACTCACACGTGTACACATTCATGCATGCACACATGAACTCACACACCTACATTCACTTGTACTCACATGTGTACATGTTCACTCATACACACATGCACTCACAGGCACATGCACTCATTCACCCACATTCACTCATACTCACATGTGTGCACGTTCACTCATGCACATATGCACTCACACACTCATATTCACTCACACAGACATGTGCATGGTCACTCATGCCCTCATACACATACTCGTTCACTTGCACACATGTATGCTTACATATGTAAAAACATGCACTCACACGTACACACACACATGCAGTTTCTCATACATCTAATGCCTTGTTGACTGATTTTGCCTTGCACAGTTCAGAAGTGAGTGTAAACGTACTTTTACAGGTTTACTTTCTCCATTTCTTCCCCTATGGTACGTCAGCTTTGTAGAAGGAGAGGGACACCATCAACAGTGGGGCCCTGGCAAAGGACGGGCTTGTCAACTCCTGTTACCCTCTGATAGCCTCGTGGGAAGTAAGGCAGAAACTGTGTCTGTCGACCAGCACCCAGGACCCTTACATACGTGACTGGGATCTGGCCTGTTGCCCTCAGACCACCTAACGGACACAGGGAAGGGAAGCAGCCTGGGTTTGAGGCATTGTGTGCACTGCCCCATACCAAACCCAGCAGCAGTGGCATGAAGAATGACCCCCAGGACCACACCAGCCACCAGTCCAAACCACCCGAGCAGGCAGCTGTGCCCCTCAACCCTCCAGGCAGGAAGCTGGGCAGAGAGGACACAGCAGGCCAAGGCCACACAACAATGCACAGTGAGGAGAGGGCTCAGTGCTGGGCAGCCTGGAGGAATGGCCCACTTCCCCCCGTTCTCAAATGACTAGGTTGCAAAAAAGGTCTTCTTGGGAGAGAGAAAAAGGTGTATTTTTAAAATACTATAGTTGACACCGTGTGCAGAAATAAAAGAAATTAGACACTGACTGTACATGCCTCACAAAAACAAAATAAAAATGGGATCAGAGACCTTAACGAAAACCACAAAACTATAAAAACTTGAGAACGTGGGGAAGAAAGCCTAGGTGACCTTGGGCTTGATGCCAAGTCTCAGACGCAGCGCTGAGCTCGCCATCCACGCAACATGCTGCTGTGGATGCAGTGCCGAGCTCACGATCCGTGTGAGAATAAACTGATGAACTGGCCTCCATTCAATTCAAACCCTTCTGTTCTGTGAACAACACTGTTAAGAGATGACGAGATGAGTCACAGACAGGGGGAAACCTCTGTGGAAGGACTCGAACCTAAAATACAGAAACTGTTAAAGTTCAACAAGAAGATGCTCAACAAGTAAAGAGGACGGAAGAGCCGTGCAGACACCGTGCCAAAAACGAGAGACGCCAAATCAGCCACGGAAGTAGCTTCACCATCATGTCACTGCTGCTGTTGCCAGGTGCCATCCAGTCAGCTCCGACTCATAGTGACCCTACGCACAGCAGAACAAAACGTAGCCCGACTTCCTGTGCCAGCCTCACAATCCCTGCTGTACCTGAGCCTGTCATTGCAGCCACCAGATCAATCCATCTTGTTGAGGGCCTTCCACTCTTTCTCTCTTTTTTTTTTTATTAGGATTTGGGTGAAGATTTACAGAGTAAATTCACTTTTCATACAGCAGTTCACATATACTTTGTCTCA